ACAGTTACTATTTTTTATTTCTTTTAGAAATTTATCCACCTATATTTCTTCAAATATTTTCTCTGTTCCATTCTTTCTCTTCTCTTCTAGAACTCCAGTTTTTTACATATTTTACCATTTGATTCTGTCCCACAGTCATTGAGGCTCTGTTCTCTTGTCAATATTTTTTTCTCTTTATGGATGATTTGTATTGACCTGTCCTCAAGTTCATAGATTTTTTTTCTATGATCCCATTCAATAAATATTTGGTTTAATCTTGCTTTTAGTTGTATGATTTCCCCTACTATATCCTGGAGACTTTTTTAAATCATATTTTTATAGTTATTTTGCCATCTTTGTCTGATATTTCTAAAATCTGGGCTATTTATGGATGTTTATATTGATTACTTTTTCTCTTGACTGTGAACAAAATTCTCCTGTTTCTTCATGTCTTATCATTTTTATTTTATGCTGTAGTTGATGCCTAAGGAACAATACTAGCTGAAGTTAGTTGTTATTGTTTTTCTCCAAAAGTAATGTCTTTTCCTCTGTTAGGCAGCTCGAATGATGGGCTAGTCAGTTCGATCTAATCAGGAGTTTGGGCAGGTTTGGGATGAGTTTATAGCTTTAATCCCTCTCTCAGGGACTTGGAATTCAACTACAAAAGCTAAAACATCTTGTATTTGTTTTTCAGGCACTACTTCATGTGCTGCCCTCAGGCTCATATCTTTGATCATGCTAGAAGTTGAATAAGGTAAGGGTTTGGTTAGACCGAGTTCACTTTGGGCTCTAAATTATTTGAAATTAAGCTCAAGCCTTTCACCCCAAGAGATGTCTGGGACCAAACACTACAAGACTGCTAGACATCAAAACTGCAAGACTTCAAATCTATGAGACTATGAGACTGCAGATAGTTTCCCCAAAACCAGGTAGAGGGCACAATGCATGATCCATGCTCTATAAATAGGAACATAGTAGAGTATAGTGGTTGTGTACACCAATTCTGGAGCCAGAATTCCTGCATTCAAATCATAGCTCCAATGTTGCCTTCCGTGTCCCAATTTCCCCATCTGGAAAATGGGGTAATAAGAGCACCTACTTCATAGGGTTTGGTGATGGTTAAATAAACATAGTAAGTGTTACATAAATGTTAGCTCTGGCTTTTTGTGACAACATCCATGCAGGGAAAATGTTGAGAGTAAACAGAGAATGGAGGCAAAATAATTGCAGTGCTTTCAGAAATCTTTCTATCACAGCCATAGTTAAAAGTCCTTACTGCCTTTCCTGATGGAATTAGATTGGCCTAGTGTGTCTGCAGATCCCATTGTTGCTAAAGCAGAGCTGCCCAAGTGTCCCCCTTTAATTCTTTGCCTTTCGTCACCTTTTTTGGCCCCTTCTTCCTTTCCCTGAGCCTCCAGACTATAGGTGTTAGATCCAAAGGTACGAGCTCTGGGAAGAGAGAAGTGACTTAGCAAACCTTCCCCCACTTGGCCTGCCAAAAGTAAAGGCTCTTCTCCCCTCTACCCCTGCTTTAATCACGCTTGGGAGACAATAGCCTAAAGAAGTCCCAGACATTTCAGAAAGAGCATGGCACTCTTCGTTGAGAACAAATCCCAGCTCCCATCTGTGGATGACTTTGTCTCCCAGCTTTCTTGCCTATTAAACACATGACAGCACATTGCCTAATTGCTGAGAAATGAGGCCCCGAAGAAGCTATTTCAAATAACCTATAGCAAGATTGTCAAAAGAAGAGAGCCAACCGGGAGTAGGATGGGCGCCGAGGGCTCGGGGCCTAGGAACACAGCCCCACTGGCAGGCGGCCAAGGCACCAAGCCCAGGGCCTAACAAAGACGCTGAGAATTCAGAACCAGGATCTGGGAGGTCACAGAGCTGGCCCTCTCCACTTTTAGCGGAGTAGGCACACATCTGTCACTTTGTTCCTGTTCCAGATTCCATTCTTCTCAGGGGCCCTGTGATGGAAAGCCACAGTCCTCCCCTTCCTTGTCCTTGCCTTCTGAAGACCGATTACAAAGCTGTCTCTGGATGGAGCCATGGATGGAAGAACAGAAGAGTCCAGGATCACCTTTCACTGTGCTCTCCAGCCCCCAACAGTGCCCTTTGCCAAACTTGGCACTTCTTGTTTACATTTGCAGACTAATCAAACCCAAGCCATCTTCCACCATGTTTTCTAAACACTCACTGATCACGATTAATCAGCAAGCTGGCGGTGCTGCTGCCTGCCCTGTGAGCATCTTTGTTAATGACAGAAGAAGAATGCCAAACGGCCAGCTCGGCTCTGGGTGGTGAGGTATGGGTCTTGCCCAGACTGAGGAGGCAAAGGCGTTGCTGAGAGCTGTCTAGCACAGAATGTAGATCCCTGGTGCTTGATAAGGAGAAATGAGCAGGCCTTCTCTCTGAGAAGAACAATGTTAAGAGTCCATCCACTTACCCCTCTCCTTTCTTCCTACCAGATGAACCTGGAGACCAAAAACAGGGAGGAGGGAAAGCTCGAGGTGAAGGAAGGCCAGCTAGCCACCCCTACATTAGAGACCTATGCATTTCCCTGAAGCCAGAAACTAGGGCTGGCTGGTGGCAGCAGCAGCAGGAAGAACTTAAGCTAGATAATCAGAAGTACTTTCCAATATGAAGGATTGCTAAAACTATTCTAGGACAGGTTACTAAGGAAAGAAATGTTATCTATGACCTATAGATCCTTTACCCCAACTTAATTAGCCTAGTCTACACTATGTTTATATATGTTCCATGTACAAATTTGACTTTTCTATCAAAACACAAAATTGAGGGAACCTGGTATAATATTTATTTGATGATCCTTGGCGTCCTCTCTCAGTGGAGATCATACCCTGTTGGATGCCCAGTCATGGTGCTGACCAGGCATTGCCTGAGTGATGACATTAGCAGTGGTGTCAATAAACCTTAGCAAATCAGATGATGTGCCAAGCCTTGGGTTAGAGGATGGGGAACCAAGTCCTGAAGGAATTATAGAGATTAATAATAGCACAGGAGATCACATCCCAGGTGCCAAAATGTGGCCCAGCAAGAACTTAGCAATTTAGAGGGATGTGTCAGAGGAGGCTCCATAGGGGCATGGAGCCTAAAGACTAGAGAAGGGTAGGCATAAGCTACACATCATGGTTGGTTGTTTCTATCAGGTAGGTCCAAGGGGAGGCATTTGGGAGCTCCCAGAACTGCTGTTTCTTCTCAGGAATCTGCCCTGAAATAGGTGCCTAGAGCCACCAGCTCATTAGAATTTGTTGCATAGAGGACATATGCTTTAATTAAGGGCAGGGTCTTGAGGAGGGGAGCTCCTGCCCCCTGGAACCTCTCACAGGCCTAGGACAGGATTCTATGCACCATCCCAACCCCTCACCCACATTGGATCAGGATCACTGAAGGTGTAACAGCTCATCTATTTGCCCTGAGAAGGCATTTGATCCACCAAGAGCTGCAAGCTTGACTGCACAGGCCTTCCTGGGCCAGGACCCCCAGAACTAAACACAAGGCCCAATCTCCTCACCCCTACCCCAGAGCAGGCCCCGGGCCTAAGCTTTTGTGTGAAGAGCAGTTCTCAGGGGGCCCAACCTTGAGTCTCCCAGGCTGAGCCTCCAAGTCTAGAAGTAGCTGAGGGACCCTGCCTCCACTCTCTACCTCCCAGTGGAATTGCAAATGAACCAGAGGAACAAAGTCAACATTTCCTGCAAGAAAGAATGATTTTAGAAGCTGTATGGCATCATAGTTAGGAATGAAGCCCCTGAGCCCAAAATGTGAAGGTTTCATTTCTAGTTCTGCCGTTTATTAGCTAGTGACCTTATGCGCAAATGAACCAGCAAGGATAAACAAAGGTTAATCTGATCCTTAAGGTCTTATATCCTCATCTGTAAATTAGGGACAAATAATAATACCAACCTCACAGGGTTGAGCTGAGGAATAGATGAACCAATAATAGAAAATGCTTGGTAGAACACCCAGCATGTTGTAAGCATTCAAAAAAAAAAAAAAAATGCTGGCTGTTATTATTAAACATGTTTCTGGTAATGGCAGTATCACATTTTAATATAGAAAGGGTTTACAGAAGCATCTAATTGGAAGGGGGAGCTTCGAAACTTATTTTGAAAATGCATTTGCATAGCAAGCAAACCTTTGTTCCTTTTTCAATATTTCTTTATGTCACAAGGGGATAATAGAAATATTTTCTTTCTAGGGTTCTTAGGAAGATTAAATGAAATGATACATATACTGTGCTTGGAACAGTAAGCACTCAGTTAATGTTAGTTGTTTATTTGGGGTGGCTCGAAAG